GAGTTAGGCCCATAAATTTCTACAGCCTGCATTAGTAGTGCCTTCTATGACTGACAGAAATAAAATTGAGCAAACGCAATGAGTTCCATAATTATTTCTCCTAAAGAGGACTTATGAAAAAATGGCATTCAGGTCATGCATGGATATTAAGATATCCAACTAAATTTACAAAGATGTCTTCACGGCCAGTATATCTCATATGAAAATAAGTGCAAGTATTTGCACTTACAAGCTTTAGCATTGCTGATAGCAAAACAAAGATTGTTGATCCTAGCTTGATCATCTCAATTGATCAGATTGGTCATCTTTTCTAGAATGAGAGAGCCTCTTGTGGAATTAATTCTCATTGACATAACATAGGTACAATGTCTGTATAAATAGGGTTACAGCAGAAGAATAGAAGGAAAGAATAAAAAATGCTAACTTCTAAGGTAACTAAGTATCCTAAGATATTCACACATTTAAAGCCGAGATTCTCTTAGAGAAATATGAAACTTTACAACGCTCCCCCTCAAGCTGGCTTGAAGATTTCTTCCATGGCCAGCTTGTTAATGAAGTTTTCAAACTATTTTTTCGGCAGCCCTTTTGTCAGTGTCTGCTACTTGCTCAATTGTCGAGATATATGGCAGACATATTACTCCCTCATTTATTTTCTCTTTAATAAAATGTTTGTCTACCTCTACATGTTTTGTTCTATCATGAAGAACTGGGTTGTGAGCAATAGCTATTGCAGTTTTATTGTCACAATATAGTTTCATTGGTAGTGAATTATTAACCTTTAATTCTTCCAGCAACCTTTTGATCTATAGAACTTCAAAAATTCCATGAGCAACAGCCTTAAATTTTGCCTTTGCACTACTCCCTGCCACCACATTTTGTTTCTTGCTGCGCCATGTTACTAAATTTCCTCCAACAAAAGTGCAATAGCCGGAAGTTAATCTTCTATCAGTGACACTTCTAGCCCAATCTGCATCAATGTATACTTCAAACTGTAAATTTTCCATGTCCTCCAAATAATAAACCTTTACTTGGAGTCCCTTTTAGGTACCTTAAAATCCTATGCACAACATCAAAGTGCTCGGGTCCTGGTGAGTGCATAAATTGACTTATCATGCTTGTTGCAAAGGCTATCTCAGGACGTGTATGAGAGAGAGAAAGGAGTTTCCCTACCAATCTTTGGTATTGCTCTCTGTTGGTCACTTCTTCAGCCTTAGCTGGTTGGAGTTTTATATTTGGCTCTATATGTGTTTTTGCTGCTTTGCACCGTAGTAGACCAGTTTCTCGAAGTAAATCAAGCACATACTTGCGTTGGGAAACAAAAATTCCTTTCTTTGACCTTGCAAATTCCATACCAAGAAATACTTCAAGTTGCCTAATTCTTTGATCTTAAATTCCTATGGCTGTCCGTGAGTCGGTTCTCTTCAGAACCGAACCTACCCAAAACTTTCGGGTATTTAATAAATGGAACTGTCAGGTCCAAATATAATTATGGAACCGTTCGGGTTCGGTTCGGTTTGATTCCGTACCATAATTAAATTTTTTAATATTTACAACAACACTACATAAATACAACTAATGACATTTCATTCGTAACTTTTACAAATTAACGTAGCCCAATTCAAAAACATATAAATAACTAGCCGTCCAATAAGATTAATTCAATGCATACAAATACCAAAAAG